CGCGTCCACCTTTATATCTCACTTATTTAATATTCCTTTCCGTTCTAACCGTCTGCAGCAGAAGCTTAGATGTCCCAAAAGGCATCTTCCCTTAAAGTTTAACGACTACAATTTTGTACACACTCCACATCACTCCTATCGATGGGACGTGACCTTTTCATTCTCCACTACATCATTTAGTCGTCCTATTAAGACTTTTTTTTATTGCTAGTGGGGTGGGACTAAGTCCCTTGTACTGCGGCCACTTCTGGCCTATTGTACCAGCCCCAGATGATAGGTGAGGGTGATTGTGGAGCAATTGGTGGAACGAAGATTGGCAGGGGAAACCGAAGTACTCGGAGAAAACCTGCTCCAGCGCCACTTTGTCCACCACAAATCCCACTTGACCAGACCCGGTATCGAACCCAGGCCGCCGCGATGGGAAGCCAGAGACTAATCGCTTGAGCTATGGCGCGGCCCTCCTATTAAGAGTTGGTGAAATGTAAAATTTGAAGCTCCTCATTATGCACGTTACTTCATGATCCTTTTACTTCCTCTCTCCTGGGTTCAAATATTCTCCTGAACACCCTGCTCTCAAACGTTTTCAGTCTGCATCCCTTCCTTAATGTAAGAGATTAATCATCATAATCGTACAGGCTCCAGCATGCAGATCACAAAACTTCACATTTGTTATTAATGATGCATTTTTCTGTTTAAATTAACACAATAATTTTAACTTAATAAAAATGCCATTTTACTGGTTCTCACATGACCTTACAAGAAAACACGGATCACACGGCAATCTTCTTCTTCTTCTTCTTCTTCTTCGGTGCACGTCTTATGTATCGCTAGTGAAAGATGAGGGAAACAGACTAAGTCTGCAAGTGGGAAGGAGAGACGGTTCCTATTGTTTATATAAATATATTTCGTATATAGTCCATCTTTTTCAGTGCAGCCAGAATAGCTTTTGAGGCAAACCAGTAATCACTTTGCTTTTTGATTTCCCAGCGTACGCCTTATTATGGATATAACTCAAAATAATAATTTTTAATATGTTTCACCTTCCGGTGAAAAGGTTTATTCTATGACTTACGCCTTTGCGTGACCTCCGACTGGCCGAAGGAACACAGTAGCCCTTTAAAGGCTGGAGAGAAAGGGAAGGTGTTTAGAACAATGCGGTGCAATAGCGATTATTCGAATTAATTGACTGGTGTGTCCGGAATATACAATCGTTAGGAGTACTGGAATACAATTAAATCATTTTTAAAAGCAAAATTATTTATTCAAAAGATGTGTAGGTACATTTTATGTATAAACAAAAACCAGAAGCCACGGACTTTTCAACTTCTCGCAGGGCTCGGAGCAAGCGGTAAGCGGGTTGCATATTTCACCACCTGGAGAGCCACTAACACATAATATCATGTTTCACAAAAATTCGTCTTTACTGCAAGTTAGTAAAATAATTATATGAAATTTGTAATTTATGGATTTTCTTTTTGTGCTGTAAGTCAGTCGGGATGAACGTGAGTTCTGTTTATCGACATTCCATTCCTGTTGAAGAGCAGGTGAAAGAGAAAGTCAAGGTGGAAGCAGGAGATGCTACATTTTGAAGGGGGAAGGGAAAGTATAATTTACTTAGAAGGCTTCCGGGCTTCACCTGTTCGTCCTTCACATGAGAGTGAAAGTGAAGACGTTAGAGAGGCCAGAAGTGGTGTAAGTAGAAGTACTAGTAGTAAGTAGTAAGAAGTAGGAAGAAGTAGAAGATAGGGGCCAAACAAATTTGAGTTATTGATATATTGGGTTTTTGGACTTCATCCATCGTCCTGGTTTTTAAGATAACTNACGGACCCAACAGAATAGGTGTTTTCCTTCACCTGAGGACGGAAACAGATCCAGTTTCCGAAACGTCGTGTTTTTATTAGTTATCTTAAAAACCAGGACGATGGATGAAGTCCAAAAACCCAATATATCAGTGTGTTATACACTATCGTCAGAATCCTATAGTAAATTTGAGTTATGTTTGGTGCCAAATTGCGTAATAAAATAGTTTTGTCGTCTTTACAGCAAAGGGGTTTAATTATGATTAATTTAAACAGAGGGGGCTGTGCGAGAGTATGCAGTGACATCTGTGAACTTGAGAACCATCTCAGCTATTGTTTAGACACAGGGTAAAACCAAGAACACTTACGTCGAGATGATCGGGGACAGAAATTTCCGAATGCATACTGACGCCTAGCGAGCAACCTGGCAAAAAAAGGGGGGGGGGGTGGAGGAATTTCACAGCCGATGTGTTGTTGCTTTATTCATAATTTGAATTGCACGCCAAGCACAATAATACGAGCAAAAGGGTAACTTAATTACATAGCAAGCATAGCTACTCATTAGTATTTCGCATAATGAGGGGTGGATTCCAACTGGGTCCACTCGGCACGGCGCCCACTGATTTCCCTATTGTAGCCTTCTCCGGGTGATTATGATGGAGTATTTGGTGGGATGAAGATTGGCAGAGGAAACCGAATAACTTGGAGAAAACCTACCCCAGAGCCACTTTGTCCACCACAAATCCCACTTGACCAGACCCGGGTTTGAACCCGGACCGCCGCGGTGGGAAACCAGCGACTAACTGCTTGATACCCATTAGTAACTGACAATATACGTGTATATATATATATTTATGGAAAAAACAAAAGTAATGAAAATTTCGAGACAACCAACCCCAGTCACCATAAAGATAGACCAAAAACAACTAGAGAATATGAAATGTTTTAAATATTTGGGTAGCTTCTTAACAGATGACGGAAGNTATCTGCCTTCTAAAAGAAGTTACTGAAGGAAAGATAGAGGGGCGGATAGAAGTGACCTGAAGACGAGGAAGAAGACGTAAGAAGATGCTAGATGACCTTGGGGACAGGAGGATATTCTCATTTGAAGGAGAAAGCTCTAGATCGCATCAAGTGGAGGAACTGTTTTGGAAGAGACTGTGGACCTGTCGTCTTGACAGATTCCTGATGAATGAATGAATATACAGTGTGATTCACGAAGTTTTATCCCCACTTAGGGAGGGCATTCCTGAGGTAATTTGGAACAAAAAATTTTAATATACTAATGGTATCCGACTCATAATTAAAGAGATACAATAATTTGAAAACTGGCGAAAATTCTTTTTTTTTTCTTCAAATTTCAGTCAAAACAAATTAGACATACAATACAAACACTTTTTAAATCGTTAATGTTTTAGGAAAGAAGCATTCTAAAACCATTTTTTTTTTCAATTTCTTAATTTTGGGCAACATTTTTCATCGATTTTATGTTACAAAATTACATTATTTTCAGCATCCCATTCTGTAAACATACCAATGGTTGCATATCACACCCTTCTATCAATCTGTTTCCTTTAAACTATAGTGCTTTAGAAGATGACTGGATTTACAAAGATTTTCAAAAATGTCTCCCTGCACGTCAACACAATGCGTCGCACGCGTTTGAACCGCTCTGCCTATCTACTTACGCGAAACATTCAAACCGGTCTACCTTATCTGCTGACACAGCTGACTGGAACCTATGGTCGTCCACGCTGAAGCATAGCGCTGCATTCACAATGATTCGTTTCAAAAATCTATTGTTACTCCGTAACAATTGAAAATCGACCACAAATTTATAAGGAAATTTTGCAGGAAATAACCCCAGGAATATGTACCATAAGCCGGGGTAAAACTTTGTGAATCACTCTGTATTTATGATGTCAATTGCCATATCAATAAAGGTACATTTCGATTTAGGCGACAGTTGTATGAAAAAAACCGCGCAGGTTGAAATCGCATGAATCGAATATCATTTCCCCCTAAGAATAAATGGAAATGTCTCACTTCTCTCAGCTAAATAACTGAACGACTAACTAACAATGACACACATAAGTAAATAACGCTATTCGTACCCTCTGTCTTGTGAAATACAGGAGAAGCTATTTGCTTTTAACACTGTATTGATGGCTATGGAGACAATCGCATCTGGTCTGCAGCCAGTTCCTGCTGTCTCTCTCTTCATGCTTTTGAGTATTGAGAATCGTGTCAATGTGGTGAATTCTAAACACTGTTAAACAGTTTTAAGATGACAGAAAGAATAAATAATAATACTAATTGAAATCTCGGTAGATGGTTTGTTAAGTGGATGAGAGGTTGATCTGACGGTTGATCAGTGAATTGCATGGAGAGATGGCTGAAGACGATGACTGTGACAGTAAACAAGGGGACTGAATAGGTTGAAAAAATCAGAAAATACTGAGTTGTTCATTTACGGTCATTGAAGTTAATTATAAAATTTCGTTGGAAGTATTTGGTGACTCTTCTGGCGTGAATTCTTTGCAAAACCGTTCATCTTTAGTCGTTCCGCAGCCTCAGAAGTACGCAATAGTAGATGTGCAGAAAAGTTCCCGTGGGTGGACAAAATCACTCTACTTCTCCTTTCCCCGCAAGAAATTCGGATTACAGCAATTTCAATTAATTGAAATCTTTCTAGATTAGTTGATGGCATTGTAAATAATTCTTCGAATTCGCGTATTGCGGGGAATGTTTTCATGTCCAAATGTTCGTTCCTTATCATGATGCTGCCCACGAAATTGGTCCTCCGAAATTCCCTCAGATGATTAGCTGCCTGCAATGAGAAACACTTCAATCGCACAGGATCTGAAATGATTCAGTCAGACTATTTTCGGTGTTTTGTGTGTGAGGTTATGTTCTAAATAGAATGCTTCACATTACAACATCAGTCCGAAGTGGATGGAATTATAGTGGACTAATGGCTTTACTTGCATGTTTACTCGTACTTTCGGGTTAGCCTATTGACATGATGGTATCCATACATGTTTGCTGACGCAAAATTTCAACTGGCGTTACCCCTGGGAGTTTAGTAACAATTCTCAACAAGGACAGTTCATTGAGGCCGGCTGGGAGAGGATGCTGCGCTTGCGGGTGAATTATTCTCTGTAGTGAAGTAATTCTCATATGCTAAACTTGACTTTTCAGAGTGACCCGTCATGAGTCTCACATCGAAAGGACCTCTGTTCTTGAGAGTGAGTGTGCCTGAAGGATTGGATGCGGCACTCGAGGGCCTTACACGTGAGGTTCTGAAACGCCAGCCCAAAGACATTTACTGGTTCGCGGCTCAGCACTTCGAGAAACTTGTCAAATTGCGGGACATGGGAGGTGAGTGTGGGAAGCATGTATAAGCGGCTTGATGGCAAATCTCTACATATATGTCCGTGCAATAAACCTACGAATGAATGTAAACTTGAAGAGTTCTATCTTCTGGCATACAGAGCCATGCAGTCTGTTGAAAGTCAACCGACGTTTCTGAGGAACATGTCTTCAAGGCCAAAGGATGTCGAGCAAGAAATCAACGTGAAAGCAACTGAAAAGCAGTACTTCAACGTTGGTTTCTTATTCGACTTATTCTTCGATTCTGAAGATGGAGGAAAAATGTTCCTCAGAAACGTCGGTTGACTTTCAACGGACTACATAGCGTTATGTCCCAGAAGACAGAACTCTCCATAACCACCGCTGTGAGAACCTCATATCTTACATGAATATAAATTTTCCTAAATGTCAAAGTAATGTTGGTAAACCACGGATCACACTGGTACCTGTTTTGTAACTATGTCGATTCAAATATATCTGCCGAGTTCCGCGTGAGCAAGAAAGGGGGGGGAGTCGGCCTGAACTGCATGATAGAAGGCCTATTATCGGATTTCCGTAATCATTTGAAGTTCATCGTGACAAAACCCAATATCTCCAGATGATCGGCCTGTCATGGAGTTGGGTTTTTGGTGGTACTCACGACATCGAGCAAGTTAGCTGATGCGGTATCAATTGTGATGAAGTTCGGGCCTCGGCCGAGCCACCGGCTGTCCGGACTGGGTACTTGCGCGGGTTTCCGTAACCCTTCGAGACGAAAGCCGAGAGAATAGTTCCACCTCATTTTAAGCCAATATTGCTTCCATCCTAATCCTTTTGAATTTATTATGCACAAATTATCCTTCCATGTGACTGCTATACAGACGGGGTTGCTGGTAGCTGCAGTAAATAAATAAATAAATATATATATATATTCACATTGTAAAATTTATAACTAGGCAATGGCACGATAAACACCTTACGTAAGAGCACTCAACAATAGGACGAATGTTTATAGCTCGTTGCTAGGCAACAGTCAGCGCGCCAATGGGCTGGCGAGATAGCTGTCTTGTGACTGGTTTTCTATCGAATCCGCGCCGCGACCTTTGCTATGCAGTGGTTCGGCAAACATGTATCAGCAAAAGAGACTGTGTTTTCCGTGTGGTCCATGCCGAAGGCTTATAAGAGAAGTGTATGAAGTGACAGACAATTCAGTCATAACCTGGAGGAACGAATTCAAACCAGGAGCTCAGAAGAGAACAAAAGGTCGGCCTGTGAAGATTTTATGTGATCAGAAGAATTGATTTATGTGTAATATTTGGAGTGACTTGAAGCGCTTTTCCCTATGAGAGAACTAGTGTGTGTGTGTGTGTGTGTGTGTGTGTGTGCGTGCGCGTGTGTGCGTGCGCACGTGCGTAACACTGAATTGTAATGTGCGAAATCAGCGATAGCGCTGTATTTAAATGTGATTAAGAGAGACCGTGACCAAGGTGCTAATAAATCCAATCATCCGAAATAGAACCCGTCATTCTTGTCACGCGTACCACCCTACGCACGTGACAATATAAATAAGACACTTCAGCACATATTCTCCGACATATTCTCATCAACACTATGGTTAAAAATAGCCTGAGAGTATGGCAGGTATATGTGGGTGGTGGAGGAAGCGCACGACGTCATACATCCGTTGACTCCTCGCCTTCTGCGAAGCAGATGTTAATGTGGTAATTACCAGCAATGCTAAGGTAGGGACCTCAACATCTACAGCGTGCCAAGATCAGCGCTAATAAATACAATAAGACCTAGGCTTTTCGGAAGGGTGTAGATACCATTCGATTCGTTTAAAATAAACGTAACAAGTCCACATTTCTGCTGCCGAAAGTAATGTTCATATATTGGAGTCATATTAATTCATGAACCAATGTGACTATGCTTGGAAAATCGGATGAAGTGGAACATAACGTGTTTATGGCTCCGTGACGAATAATATGTATTCATATTTTGTCCCACGTTGAAAAATATAGGAATGGAGGCAATGATACTTCATAAAGATTCTTGAATTTTCATACCTACTGAAACTGATTAAAAAAAAATTAGGTGTTAGGTCAGGATAGACTTGTCCTTGAACGGTGAATACAAACTCCGTGGCTTGTAGCCCGCAAACGAACTATATCGACAGAGCGACCGGAGCTTGTCGGCGAAGTTAGTGCCAACTTTTGCGGATAGAGGATGTCTCGTGGTCAGCGCAACGAATCCCCACGGCCGTTAATCTCGGTTTTCTGGACCAAAGCCGCTATTTCCTTGAACTAGCTCCTCAATTATCCTCACGAGGCTGAGTGGAATCCGTTCCAGACAAACTGCTTCTCAGAAAATCTGGCAACGCCGCGAATCGAACCCAGGACCCCTGGATTTGTAGCTAGGAACTCTGACCACTAGACCACAGAGGCGGTCCTAGATACATTACATTAATTAATTTCACAATCCTAACAAACTATGTCAGTATCACCGTAATACCACACCCAATCCAATTATTTCATTACTTAAGAAACATTAAACTACAGAAAGTCTTATTATGACAACAGACGAAGTTATGTAGCTGTAAAGGTTTATTTAAACACATATATTCACACACGATAAAACACAAAAGGGACGTTGTTTTCCTTTGCTCATTTTCAATCTCGCTCTTACTCATCTTAATATTACCAAAATTATTAGTGAGGGATCTGATGACCACCTCTGAGGTCTAGTGGTCAGAGTTCCTGCCTACAGATCCAGAGGTTCGATTCCCTGCGCTACCAGATTTTCTGAGAAGTAGTGGGCCTGGAACGGCGTCCACTCAGTCTCGTGAGGATAATTGAGGAGCCATTACAAGGAAATAGCGGCTACGGTCTAGAAAACCGACATTAACGGCTGTGGAGATCCGTTGCGCTGACCACGTGACTTCCTCTATCTGCAAAATTTGGCACTAACTTCGCCGACAAGCGGCGGTCGCTCGGTCGGCATAGTTCGCTTGCGGACTACAGACCACGGAGTTTGTTTGTTTGAGGGATCTGATGAATATAGTTAAACCATCTTTGAGCCAGCCAGTAGTGAAAACTGTGGACTTGTTGACTGATAGCCGGATTTCTGAAACAATTAAAGCCTTAGATATTTAAATATGATGTTCACTTTGTGTTATTTAGTTAATTCCTCTGTATTACAATTTACTCTTAGGTAAGACAAGTTGTGAAACAAAGTCTCTTAATTCTGAGAAGCATACTTCTCCATTACACGCGCTATAGCTAGAGGCTGTGGATCCCTGTATTTGCTGATGACGTCTCCTGGGCAATTGTTGAGTGTGTAAGCCAACTGGGAGGGGAGACGAGTTCAATATTGTCGGATAAACAAGAGAATGAGAACAGTGTAGACCAGTAGTGTCTGATCTGGGCTACATTTTTAGTTCACGGATGTTGTGCAAGGCGCTCTACATGTATAGACTATGTATTATAAACTTGGTTTATCTTCGCTCCAGCCCTTTTGTAGAATCATTTCTCAATTCTTAACGATGCTTAAATCTGCCGATATTATCGTGATTTTACTGTGATTCTGTGTAAGTGTTTGGATTTTATCTTAAATGTAAGTCACGGTCGTTCCATCCTACATAGATTTCTGTTCATCATTTCTAATAATTAGTCCGCTGCTTCACGCCAATGCTTTTCGGCTTCGCTTTAGATTTCGGCATTATGAAGTACAAGAATATCAGGAGGGATTGGAATTAAATGGAAATTCTGAGCTTCGGTCTAGAAATAAAAGCAGGCTTATAAGTGGCTAAGTATATGCTGATGTCTCGTGACCAACATGCAGTGCATAATCATAATACAAATAAACTCACGTAAAAATTAAATCGTTTGGAAATATGCAAAATTCACATATTTGGGAACGGCAGTAACAACAAATTAAAATGCTATTCACGAGGAAGTTAACGGTATATATTTGGGCAATACTTGTCATCATTCGATTCAGAATCTTTATTCTTCTTTTCTGTGATTAGACACCTAGTATTACAATATGAAGAACTATATGTTACTTTTATATTGTTGTGAAACTTGTTCTCTCGGCCGAAAGAAAGAATAGACTTAAATTCAGTGTGTTTAAGGACAGATTTCTGAGGAGAATATCTGGAACTAGGAGAGAGGAAACAGCAGCAGGACGGACAACATTGCACAAACAGAAGCTTTATAATGTATAGATTATCTGTAACAAATAATATTAGGATGGTCAAATCGAAGAGAATCAGATAGGCGGAACATGTAGCATGCATAGGAGGGAAGAGGAATGCATGTGAAGTTTAATTGGAAAACTTGATGGGATAAGACCACTTGGGAGACCTAGGTATTGAAGGGATAAGATTTACATTAGTTGTTAAACTAAATAGGATGTGAATGGTACAATAGGCCAGAAGTGGCCACAGTACAAGGGACATAGTCCCACCTCACAAGCAATAAAAAAAGGATGTAAACCCTATACAATTAAGCTATGGCAGAGCCCAGTGACGGGCTCTTTTGGACAAGGCACACAAAATTAGGGCTCCTTAAAAACCGATATAACTTGACCATCTGAGCGACTATCAGCTTTATAAGGAGAATTATGTTCATTGTAATTAGTTGGCTACATAACTTTGTAAGTCGACACGGGGTCATAAAGTAAGTGAATAACTAACAGATACTTGTGTAAGCTGCCGAGGTTACGTAGAGGACACGGGAAAATACAACAAACTGACCTGTCCCACCGCTCCCTAAGTCCTGTCAATACAAACCTCATATGGAATGATAGGGTCTCGAACTCTAGTCACTTATTCTATAAAAGAATAATAAGACCAGAGGAATGTTCTTGTACACTTCCTGAAAGAGGTAAATCAAGGCGAAACTATTTCAGTCGGGTCACTGATTGAGAAACTGCACTTCACTCCAGCTTCAGGGGAGTACGGCTCGTTGATTACTATACTCCATCATTTGTTCAAGTGTGCAATGTCTCCGCACTTGATGGGTAGGCTC